TCCATCCATCCATCCATCCATCCATCCATCCATCCATCCATCCATCCAATTTCTAGGCTGCCTGACCCCAGAATGACTCTGGTTAACTGCACAATTAAAGACAGATAAAGATATCATAAAAGAAAAGAACAGCAGTCACCCAGAGGGAGCAAACTAAAAAAAAAAAAAAGCATATCATTCATCCCATCTCCTGACTTAAAGGAACTCAATCACAGGCCAACTCAAGACCTGGAGGGGAAAGCCAGGTTTTTCAGGCTCATTCAAAGGTGGGTATGGTGAGGGCCTTAAACATTTCCAAGAGGATGCTGTTCCAGAAGGTAGGTACAACAAGAGAGAAGGTTCACTTCCTGGGTCCTGCTAGATGACACTACTTAACTGATGGGATCCAAAGGAAGGATGGACTGTTGGACTGTATGGGATGGGTAGACATGACAAAGATAACGAATACTCTTACCTTTGGGGAAGGATCTTTTAAAGCAATTGTCATCAAAGACACTGTCTGTGGGCTTCCTATTCCAGGGACATCAGGAATAAATGCTGACCAGTAACCATAGAGGACTTTCTTCTCTATGGATTTCACAGTGGAAAGGAAGCAGGTTAAAGCCCCTTGGCGAACTTTAGCTTGGAAAGACCTTGCATAAAACAAAGACAAAATGCAAACAGGCAGGAAAAAAAAACTGATTTAAGACCTTAAATAAACGGCATTGCCGTATTTGTAAAAGCAGGGGTGAGGAGTCTGTGATCTTCCATGTGTACTGGACTGCAACTCAGGTTAATCTGGCTATTCTGGGTGGAGCACAATGAAGCTGGGGGCTTCTGTCTCTAGAAGGCCACCTGCTCTTCAACACTAATCTTCAGCTTTCAAAGACAGAACTGCACACAAAATGAGAAGATTAAAAAAAAATACTTTCTCAATACAAAGACCTTTCAGTCTAGTGTATTTTTCTTACTCGGCCAGAGAAGATGCTGTACCTTAGCATAAGCCTGAAGTTCAAACAGAGAAGGTTTCTGGGCAAAGTTATTAATTTTGTACTGGAAGCTCAAAGTGACATATCCAGTGCTTCCTCCTCCTATTTTTCCCCACAACAGCCCAGTGAGATAGGTTTGGGGGAAAGAGATTGACTGGTCTATTCTGCATATAAAATAAAATATTTTAAAAGCATAGAAATGTTTTTGAAAAAAAAATACAGAATACACAGTATACTAAATTACAAAATATTCTTCTGAGATTCCTCAAAACAAACATTTCCTAACATGAAAATAATCCAACACTGACATTAGGTACATGCATTCAAAAATTTGAATGTCGAACCCATAGTCCAAATAAGGTTTTTGGGGAAGTAAATGATTTCAAAAGGTGTGAATGTCCCTTTTGTATGCAAGAAACTGCTTGTGAATTGGACAGTTTGATTTGGCTAATATGGTAAAGCTAAATGGCTTATATGGTTGAACCTGGTGACCTCAGGCATCCCAGTCACTGAATTCTAGGGTGAACCCAGTGTTGAAACTGAATATTCTTCAAATATTTTCACACCCATTCTTATCCATTGCTGCGAAACGTGTGTGTGTGCATGCACATCCTTTAAGTCTTGTGGAACCTTGAAGACCTATTCATTTATTGTGGCATAAACTTTCAGGGACTACAGTCCACCTGAGACATGCCTAAGACATACTAAATATGTTCAGCTTTTACAGATGCCATTACATTCTGTTATTTCGACAAAAGTGGTAGATTATAAAAAAAGATATTCTATCATGTAAGTGTTCTTTGAGGGGGGAAATAGGTGTTGGATATAATTTTAAAGCACCAGAAACAATTAAACTTCCAATTTTTTTTTTAAAACAGGTCCAGCCTATCATAAAAGGCAAGCTATTTTTGAGGATAACAAAAAAGAAGGAAGAGGGAAAGATAGTGAGTGAAGATAAGCCAGACTGAACAGATGGCAAATAATTACTATTAACACCTCCCCTCCCCCCCCCCAAAAGGGTAAATCAAAGGAAAGGCACCTCAGCTACATTAAACTACAGGCAAAAAAAAAAAAGAGGAAATTCAAATTTAAGAACAATTAAAAGGCTTGACACCGATGTGGCAAAAAGTCTGTGCCATGTTTCCCCAATCTGGTGCTGTCATCAATTGCCAGATACCACCTACTTGTTTTATTTATTTGAATGTATTGTTTATGATGATTTTTGTTGCCATGGTTATTTTGTTTTCATGGATGTAAACTGCCATGTGTCATTTGAAGTTGGCAGTATATAAATCAGTAACCTATAAATAAATGAAAAAACCCTCTCTCTGCTCTTCCCAATACTTGTTACAAACAGGGGCGGTGAAGAAACTGAAGAAAGAGAGTGAGAAAAAAATATTTAAACAGATCTGTGTTTGAACAGAACTCAAGTCAGATAGAATTCAATAACACAGCTATAAAATGAACAAACTTCAACACTGTACATAAAAATGACTGAGGGGGTAGGGAGGTTGTGATCACAAACCTTGTTTTGCTCTGCATTCCACCTTCAGCATCAGAATATTCTGAGTCACTGCTGCTGATTCTCTTCCAGCCAAAAGCGTGGGAAGATAAAGGCTCCTTCACAAGTGAAGCATATTTGTCACTCAGTGCCCAATTTGAAATCTTTGAGCCCTGATCTTGCTGTAACTCTTCTCGTAATGCGGGTTTCTCTCGTCCACTTCCTTCAGCACCGCCTCGCTGCTCTTTTGCCTCTTCTTCCAACTTCCCCTTCTTTGGTTTTCCTTTAGGTTTTTTCCTCCTGTTCTGTTAGCAATAGTAGTGGGGAGTATATAAATTACAGAAACACAACTATTTTTAATGAAAGATATTATACACAGTCCTGTTTAATCAATCCAAGCATATAACATTCTTTTGAATACTAACATAGAATAGCCTGTCCATGATTTTCTCTAAGCATCAAGGAATTTATCTTGACTTAAGAGGCCCTGAACAACTTGGTATCTTTGTCTAAGGCACCATGTGGTTAACGGTGCCTCCTACTCAGGATTTAATGCATGGTAAAATTAATATTTCACAACAGCTGGTTTAGAAATCGATCCTGTCCCATTTCAGACCCTCTCTTTGGCAAGCAAAAGTTTCCAGTTCAAATCCCTGGCATCTCCCGAAAGCAACAGAAAATTCCTGTTTGAAAATATGAAAAGAAGCTGTCAGCTAGAACAGATCTTCCTCTCATAGCCTGCTGCCCTCCAGGATGTGTTGAACCTCTCACCCCCAATGAAAACTGCCACTGCCTAAAGGTTATGGGATTTACAAGTCCCACCTTTCTGGAAGCAGCAATTCATGGAGGCAGATGTAGCCTCATAAACAGTGGCTTCTCTTGACAGAGTTCCCTGCCTCTTCCATGCACTGCTGCCATCTGCCTTTACCGAAACACTACGTATCCTTCAAACAGATAAAAAAAACAGTACACATCTTCAGCCCAGATTACATTCAAAGGGGCTTAGGTTTAATGTACCATGCACACAAACAACAATAAAAAAAAGTTTACCCCATTTGGTTTAGCACTGTTCGGTTCCAACTTCTCTTGCTCGACTGGAGCCCTGCTGTCATACTGAGGAAGAAGTGCTGGGTATAAGATGCTGGGCATTTCTATGTTCACTCCAGGAAGCCCATGAAACATGCATTTCTAAAGCCATCAGAGAAAACCCTAGACATTAGTCCTATATTCTATTTAGCAGCAGAAGCAGCAGCAACAAGGAAAAACTGTTTTTTGCAAAGAACCTTTAGTCACCCCACCGAGCAGCTGCTTTTGTCTTTCTCTGAAACAAGTTTTAGGCCATTCAGAATCCTTACATTATTCCTCCCAATAAACATTCCTAGATTTGTTAAGGTACACTGCCACAATAACGTTTTACTGGCCAGCATAAAAGTGACTGTCTATGCTCGCAGTCTCAGAAATCATGGGGGACTTAACACACATTTGAAACTCTATGAGCATTTGCTCTAAAATAATGGCTTTTTTTTTTACTTTGTTCACCAAAATATAGTACACTGATTCAGATCATGTGCAAGGCATTCTGTATCAGCTAGCAAGAAAACAAAGAAACAAAATAATCTATTCTTTTTATCATCCTTGGATATCATAATTTTATAGTACACAATGTAACTATCCTAGGCGATAAAAGTCCAATGGAAAGGTTTTCCCAAACTGATCAGAATCCTATGGATACCATGGGGTATCCAAACTCTTATTAGTTGATCATTTGTTCATAATAGCACAAGTTTCATCTGCAGTTCCAAAAAGCACAGTGAACTAGTATTCGTGCACATGGTAGCTGAATTTGCACTTCACACTAAGTCATGGTTTGCTGAATAAACCATAATGACTTGGGCCACACCCATATCTAAGCTAAAAACCATGTTGTGCAAATAACATTTATTAGATTTACACACACTGCACAAAGCCCAAACCACAAATCATATTCTGGTTTAAGGCGACATGTGAAACCAGCTGTGAACTATCTTTGGACATCATGATCCACTATGGATTATTGTGACAGATGTCAGTCTGGCTTCCCTCATTGTTCATACACAGTACACAAACACCCCCCAGCATGGCTTTAAGATTAGAAATTTTCATTACTATTTTAGAATTACCCGTATTCTGCGTGTCACCCATACTCAAAACTGTGGATAATATGATTACAGAAGTTTCATAATCCATGATTTGAAGCTGATGTGTTTCAAACATAGATACTATTACTCCCATTTTAGGTTTAAGCAACAAACTAAGCTGTGATGTACCTAAAACAGCAGTAAAAGTTCCTGAACATTTCCTCACAGCCGTGCCAAGAGAAAAAAGCAAGACTGCTTGGCTCACTGCTATCAAATAAATTATGGCTATTGTGGCTTGAAGAATTCTAATTTTAGAAAGCAAAGCCATTTCAAAAGCATTTTGCAAGATCAGAAGGAGGGGTGTCAAAAGTTTTCCAGGGCTGTTTTAGGGCACTCACAGAACCTCTATAAGACAGGAAATATTTCCACTTTAAATCACTGTCACCTTTAATACAGCAAGGAGAGAACCAAGGTGATCTGTCTGGGCCAACCTCATCTTTCCTCCATTTAAGAGCGACTGGATTCCTTTCAAAGCATTTTGTAACAGCTGGAAGGGAAACAAAGGACAATGACCATCCTGGGATAGTACAACTCTATCATCCAGGGTGCAATTTCCTAGGTGATAGAAGTCCAATGGCAAAATTTTCCCTCAAATGATCACAGTTTGAGAGGTTGCTATAATATCACACCCAACTCTAGTCCCAAACTCAGTATACGATTTAGATTAAGCAAGCTTTTGAGCTTATGTAAGAACATTCCACATGAAATCAATTTCTAAATGTAACCACCAACAACTAATTAACAAGCTTAGAGAAAACTCCCCAAAGGGAGCACAATAATATAGGCACATGATTTCCATTATATGAGGTCCCAATTTCCATCTTTTGAATCTCAGCTATGGATTTACAGCAACAAGATAGATCCTGAAATGCTTTGCTTGAAACATACTTGCAGGAAAGGCCTATATCTTCATTAATTAACAGCTTAAGCCCTGTCTGAGAAGACTGACTCAGGGCATCAGGATTGCCCTAATTAACCCATTCCAAACAGTGATCAAGGAGGCCACACAACACCTGGCTATTATTTATCACGGTCAACTCAAGGTAGTGTACAACAGCAAAGAAAAAAAATCAGCAACTTCACTCCAAGAAGTCAAAGAGCTTTGTTGAAAACTGATCATCTTGTGATATTTGGGGCTTTTTAAAAGTAATTTGAGGCTATACTTTTAAGATGCAATGGATATTCCAGATGGACAGGTACCACACTGACAATATCCGCACTATTTGAGATTTAGAAGCCACCCAATTCTGGGTGGCTTACAGCATTAAAACTAAACAAAACAAAAAACTAGGCACAACTCATTCACATCTGATAAAATTCCACAAAGGCTTGGCACCTACCCTAACCAAAGGCCTGGGGGAACAGCCAGATTTTCAACAACTTTGAATCTCTACACAAAGAAGTTTCTAATGGCAAACCCACTCCAAAAACAGCAGGCTAAAGTGGACTATTTATATTAGAATTAGTCAGGTTTCAGATCTAGTTTTGGACCTGAGGCTATTTCGACAGACAAGTTTTCTCTACATTTCCCTAAATCTAATGAGGTTCCCTGTCATGCTGGGGATGCTGTTTGTAGCAGGTCCGTTCTCATGTGTCAGGGCTGCATACAGTGTTTCTTCTGGGAACCAAGGTCCCATCCCGTGGAAATTACTGATAGAGATGGAGATTTGGCAATCTGAAGCAACAATATAGGCAAGTCAGGTTTATTTTTATTTTTCATCAGTGAAAGGAGGAGGATGTGGAAACTGCAAATAGAAATCAGGGTGAAAGACAGACAAAAGAAAAGTAACATCCTCCAGAAGGTGGGAGAGTCTGATGGTAGCCAGCTAAAGGTATGCATTGGTGGGGCTGTACTCTTCCTGACAGATCAGATCTGTACCTTGGAAGTGCTCCTAGACCTGGCTATGCTTTTTGACTTTCAAACTATGCCTACTGGAATGAGATTAGGGGAAAGAATGGAAACAGTGGGCCTCCCACCCTTAAAACCTTTTTTTAAAAAAAGGATTGAAACAGTTCAGTCCACCAATCACAAAAAACCAGATGGCATTCTGCAGCTCCTGAAAGTAGGGAGGCTAAGCTGTGACACTCCAATCTCTCCCTTATTGCCCACCTCTATCCTAAAGAATCTTCTTTGTCCTTACCATGCAAAAGGTGATGTCATCTACTTCATTTCCTTTGGAAGACTGTAAGACGCTCAAGAAAGCCTGAAAGCAGAGCTCTTTGTAAGATTCCTCTAGGTAGGGCTGTCCAGGTAGACTAAAACACAGGAGATGCAAAGGAGGAAGATGAGTTGCAAAAAAGAAGCAATGCTTTTATCTATCTGTTTAGCAAATGCAGTAAAAGCAAGAAGCAACTACTTCAGATCAGAAAGGTCACAGTATCTGAGACTTCATGAAAGGGGGCAAAATACTTCATCACCTGAAATAAGGAGGGAATTTATTAAGAAAAGCAAAATCTCACTATGTTATTATTCTTCCAGCTATTAGACTACTTTCAAATGTGAAGTCAGGTAAGAACCTAAGAATATCTCTGCTGGATCAGGCGAAAGGCCACCACAGTCCAATACTTCATTTCACACAGTGGCCTACCAGATGTCTCTAGGGTCCTTGCAAGCATGAGATGGAGACCCACCCTCTCCTGTCATTGTTGCGCTGCCACTGATATCTGGACGGCATTTGATAGACCTGTTCTCCATTAATTCCCCTTAGCACCATCCTAGTGATCATCATCCTGTCTTAGGGCAATGCATTTCACAGATGGTGTGAAAAAATATTTTCTTCTGTTTTGAATCACCTTCCAAACAGCTTCATTGGGTGCCTTTTTATTCTAGTGTATTGAGAGGGAGAAATCTTTTTCCTGTTCACTTTCTCTGGGCCGTGTATGATTTTACAGAGTTTGATAATGTCCCTTCTCTCAGTCAATTTTTTCCTAAGCTAAAAATCTCCCCAAGTGTGCTTTGCCCTGTCTTTTCTGCAGAAACTTTATACAGACATTCTGTACTGTATTTGCTATTCTGTTCTAGAATGTTACATGCTAGGACTTCCAAAGCCTAAAATCAAGAGTGCAGTCAAGTGATAGCTAATTCATTAACACAGATTTCTTTTACAGCTATTTGGGTTCTCCTGTGTAACAGTGATCAAAGAAAGAAAAATGTTAAGAATAATGTTATATAGCCTGATGGTGACTGGGTTCAAATACTACAATTAGCCAAGACTTGCTGAACAACACACAGAGGCTTTGTTCACACAAACCAATAAGCCATAACCTTCAATATACAAACCACAACTCTGGATTCATACATTGGACAAAGCCATAACCAAATAAATCACACTGTGGTTTAGCATCATGTGTGAACTGAATACCAGTTTTTCAAAAAAAGTACTCTTCAGTGTGGGAAAAAAATCACCTCCATCTCCACTGACAATATGTTTAAAGCAATTAAATCACACAATTAAAAACTAAACATATAAACACAGAGCATTTGGGCTAGAATCTTAACAACAGCTATTTGGAAGTGCTATTATTACAGTGAAACCACCACACTTCCCAAAAGTGTGCGGTAGGCTGGAATGTATGGGCATGTTTATCTGTGGGCCTTAAACTTACACATTTCCTGCACCCCCATCTACCCACAATACTGAAATGATTGCATCCTCTAGCCCTAGAACAGGCATAACATAATGGAAAGGACTCAAGCCACGCCTGCTTGCTTAAATCATACCTGAGGCACAGGTTGGCCATGCTGTGAATTGCGGCCCTTTTCCGTTCAGGGTCGGTTTGAGCCGGGCTGCTGAACTGCATCAGAAGTCCATTTTCCCCCAGCAAATCTGGGAGATACTTAAAAAAACACCAGTCAACACACACTTGTTGAACAAATTGGGGAAAATGTGAATCAGAATGAATTAAGCTACACAACAAAAGCATGCTTAATGCATGAATTCCAGGGGCTCAGACACCTTATCTGTTCCTATGGGTTTTAGAATGAAATATGTGGGTTGCTTGGGCTAAAAGATAAAAAAGGTGGAAGTTGCAGATTTCATTTAGGGCATCTCCTCATTGTTTCTCCCATCATCTCATCAAATAGCAGGAATTATTCTTGATTAGTTAGTATGGTATAGGAAATCTCCTTTATTTAGCCACAGAGCAGCCTATATACCAACCTGCATTGAGCTTCAGTTCCCATCACTACAGATTATTGCCTATATTAAATAATGGGAGCTGGACCAATATATCTGAAGGGTACTAAGAAAAATGTGTCTACCACAGAAGATTTGAAGTCTCCCAAAGAACCCAACACATTTTTTTCTAAATTTCTAACTTTTCTATGCTGTGAAAGTAGTATAAAAATATCAAAACAAAACTGAAGATGTGGAAAAGCTACTCAAGTACTCCAGATTATTTTCTGTCAGGAAGATTCAGAACATTTCCACTAACACACCTATCTTCAAGGAATATACCAGATCCTACAGTTTGATTAATCCTTCTGCTTGGAGCCACTGGGTAGATCCATAGGGACGGGATCAACTGTGAACCCATTTGTTTATGGTTCTGCTATTCGGATGGCAATTCTCAGCAACAGGCATTGAAATTTCCTTTTAACTTGCATTCCTTCTCCTCTGCTATCAACACTACATCTACAATGTCAGCCAAAGAGCACAATCTGGAACCCTGTTGCCTCTGCAATGGGCAGATAGAAAAAGTTTCTAACCAAGATATTCAAAATTATGCTCCAATCCACCTTTTGGCACTTGTGTCCATTGTTGTAGACAGATGCTGCCAAGGCCTGCAGAATTTCAACGTGTGTCCAGGTGCTACACTTTCTCAGAGCAGAGATGAAATAAGCCAGAAGATAGTTCAGGCTCTCTTCATCAACTGCAACCTGCAATTGCAGAAAGAAAAATGAAATTAGCATAATCTTGCAACTGATGAATTCAGGATAACAGCTCATTAGGCAAGCAGTAAATAAGTTTCATTAACTATTGTTTCCTATCAGTCAAAAATGCATGTCCAGAAACAGAAGGATGGTAGCAGTTGATAGACCCACTAGCTGTCTCATCTGAATACTGAGAAGGGAAAAAAGTGTGCTGCATTTATAATATCTATATCATATTCTAATGGTAGCATAACAACTACCATTCTTTCACAATACTTAAGAATACTCAATATACTATCAAGTCAATGAAAATAACATTAATTATGAGCATTTGAAACCATACCTGGCTTCAATGTAGGTGTTCCATCAGAATGTGGCAACAAATATACCTTTCTTACCTGGAATCTGTTGAGCAGCTGATGAATTAATTGGCACACTTTGTTGACAAGATGTTCTTGATTGAGCTGGACTAGTTTACAAGCTTGGACAATTAGTTCACAAACATCCTGCTATATAAAAGATGACAAAAAAAGGGTGCATTAGTTACTTTTAATGCCCTGAAAGTACACAGAGAAGTGAGATAAAACTGAATGTCAAGCCTATGATAGGGGAGACATAGATTTAAGTTCATACTCATTCATGGAAACTCTAGACAACATGAGCCAGTCAATATCTCTGAACCCAACTTACCTCATAGATTTGTTGCTGTGAGGATAAAATTAGAGGAAGGAATACTACAGAATGATGGAATAAGAAAATATCTCTCTCAGTCCAACCCACCTCACAAGGTTGTTGTTGGGAAAATAGGAGGCAGAAGTATTAGATATAATTGCTGCCTTGAGATATATACAAAAAAAGGCAGGAAATAATAACGACAACAGACAAGCACTTCCCACACAACACCCCTACCAACAACTGTTGATAAGAAAGACAAAAAAGTCTGGATAGTGAACACTGCAATACTTGGAGACAGTAGAATAGAAGAGAAAGAACTGGAGAAAATCACAAGATATAAAGACCTGCAAATAGAAGTAGAGCGACTGTGGCAAAAAA